CCGGGCTGGGGATTCGAACCCGCCACCTTGGGTGTACATGGCTGGCGCCTTAGCCACTTGAGCCACAGGTGCCGAGCCTTCAGCCCTTATTTTAATTGACCTTTCTAAAACGTTTGCCCTATATTAACATATGCACCTGCCATTTTGTTTAAAAATCATTTCCAGTGAAGGAATAAAACATGTTCCTCTAGGATTATCAGTGGGACATACCACTAGAAAAGAAGGACAATTCTTGGTAGCTGGAACATTTTGTTTTTGAATCACATCCTCACTCTGTTACCCAGGCTAGAGTGCCATAGTATCATCATAGCTCACAGCAACCTCAAACTCCTGGGTTTAAGTGACCATCCTGCCTCAGCCTCCCAAGTAGCTGGGACTATAGGTGCCCACCACAAGGCCTGGTTAATTTTTGTATTTTTAATAAAGATGGGGTCTTGCTCCTCCTCAGGATGGTCTTGAACTCCTAAGCTCAAGCAATCCATCTACCTCAGCCTCCTAGAGCACTAGGATTACAGGTGTGAGTCTCTGTGGCAGGCCCATATTATTAATCTTAAAACTCAGGGTTGCAGGCAGGGCCTATGGCTCAAAGGAGTAGGGTGCTGACCCCATATGCTGGAGGTGGCAGGTTCAAACCCAGCCCTGGCCAAAAACTGCAAAAGAAAGAAAAAGAAAAAAAAATCCATAGAGTTGGACATGGTGGCTCAAACCTGTAATCCTAGCACTCTGGGAAGCTGAGGAGGGAGAATTGCTTGAGGTTGGGAGTTTGAAACCAGCCTGAGCAAGAAAAAAAACCTGGTCTCTACAAAAAAATAGAAAAAATTAGCCAGGCATGGTGGCACGCACCTGTAGGTAGTCCCAGATACTCTGGAGGCTGAGGCAAGAGGATCACTTGAGCCCAGGAGTTTGAGATTGCAGTGAGCTATGACGATGCCACTGTACTCTAGCTAGCTGGGGTAACAGAGACTCTGTCTCAAAAAAACAAAACAAAACACCACATTGACATCATCCATTTACTTTCTTTTTTTTTTAATTTCATTTATTTAATTTTATTTATTTATTTATTGCAGTTTGGCCAGGGTGGGCTTAAACTCGCCATCCCTGGTATATGGGGCTGGTGCCCTATTCCTTGAGCCACAGGTGCTACCCATCATCCATTTACTTTCTAGTGGGTTCTTAGAGGGTAGGAAACAATCTTTATTCATTTTTATGTCCAACCTATACAATAAGGTCTGACTCAGAGATTGTGTGAGTAAATGCATTCCACTTATCAGCTATATGAGCGTGGGCAAGATATTACTAAGTTTTTTGATGTGTGTTAAATGTTGCTGAATAAGCTAATGAACATCTATCATCACCAAACACTAGGAGGTAAAAGACTTCATCCCACCCGTGGGTGAGGCTATTGCTTTGTGTTGACATGTTTGAGTCAACACTGTGAGTTTGCGTCTGCTACTCTGAGGTTATCTTTTCTTGGTTCCCTATCTTGTCATTTTGGCCTCACTCTCCCACCTACTTCAGTAATGTATTATCTTTCCTTTTTAAAAAATCAATTGTGGGCTCAGCACCGGTAGCACGGTGGTTACGGTACCAGCCACATACACATAGGCTGGTGGGTTCGGACCTGGCCCAGGTCAGCTAAACAACAATGACAACTGCAAACAAAAAACAGCCTGTAATTCCAGCTACTTGGGAGACTAAGGCATGAGAATCACTTAAGCCCAAGAGTTTGAGGTTGCTGCAAGCTGTGATCCCACAGCACTCTACCAAGGACAATGCAGTGAGACTCTGTCTCAAAAAAAATATCAATTGTGGTAAAACAGATATAATATTTACCACTTAAGCATTCCTATTGTAGAGTTCAGTGATATTAAGTATCCATATTGTTGTGTAATCCACCTCCAAAACTTTTTCCATTTTCCCAAACTGCAACTGGGTACTCATTAAAAAGCATCTCCCCATCTCTCCTCCAATCCCTAGCAATCACCATTTTACTTTCTGTCTGAATAAACATGACTGTTTCACTTAGCATAATATCCCCAAAGTTTATATCCCACACAACCCCAGAAAACTCTAAATTAGCTGAGATTAAGTTTCTGCCACTCCAGCAGAATTGGAGTTCAAAATAGAAATTGAGTGTAGGAAACATTAATCCTATTTCTTGCACACATAGGTTTATGAACAGAGATTCATCCTAGCTTGGAGTAAATATTTTCTTTTTTTTTTTTTTGAGACAGAGCCTCAGGCTCTCACCCTGGGTAGAATGCCATGGCATCACAACTCACAGCAACCTCCCACTCCTGGGCTCAAGCAATTCTCCTGCCTCTGCCTCCCAAGTAGCTGGGACTATAAGTGCCCACCACAACACCCAGCTATTTTTTGGTTGCAGCCGTAATTGTTGTTTGGTGGGCCCGGGCTGGATTTGAACCCGCTTGAGCCACAGGCGCCAAGCCATGGAGTAAATATTTTGGAAGCAGATGAATGATGGAGTGGGGGAAAAGAGGAAGTTTCACCTTCGGTGTGTGTGTGGGGTGTTTCCTAAACAGCCCTGAGAAGGTAGGCTGACCCATACTGTCAGCTATGCTTTCTTCCTTCCCATGATGTTCTTCCCTTAAGGGTCCCTCAACATAGGTTCAATTGTTCTTGTCCAGTTTAGTGACTGGGAGTAATTACCATTTACTCTAATGAACCAATCTATTCTGCCAGCAATTTACTATTTATCTCCTACGACAAGAATATCTGCTAAAAAAAAAAATATGCCATTAAAACTAACATAAAGGCTCAGCACCTGTAGCTCAAACAGCTAAGGTGCCAGCCACATACACCAGAGCTGGGGTTCAAATCCAGCCCGGGCCTGCCAAACAACAATGACAACTACCACCAGAAAAAATAGCCGGGTGTTGTGGCAAGCGCCTGTAGTCCCAGCTACTTGGGAGGCTGAGGCAAGAGAATTGCTTAACCCAGAAATTAGAAGTTGCTGTGAGCTGTGATAGCACCGTACTCTACCCAGGGCAACAGCTTGAGGCTCTGTCTCCAGAAAGAAACACTAACATAAAAAAAAAGCTAACATGGCTC